TTGGCAGAAACTGGGACAAGTAACGGGAGCTCACTGCGTTACGTGGCGCTAGGGATTCGAACCACCCAACTGCCAACCTTTCTGATTGACATGCTCAGCGTTTAAGTCACTGAGCTACCACATCCCCTCCTTATTTCCAAAGATCTCAGCAATAAGCAATAATATTAAAATACATACATATGTATTAATCTCACCTTTTGTAAGCAGAATGGTCATTTTTGACACTGCACTTCATGTTCTTCAATTCATCCAAGACTGCAAACATATTGATAAACTTTCCCAATGTCAGTAGATACGCTTCTGAAACAAAGTCTTTCCTTCTCTCTGCATGGCACAAACGCTTGACCTCACTACAGAATCGTTCAATGGCCTTTCTCTAAGAAATAGTGAGACAGCGATAATTTAAAGAAGGAGTAAAAAGGGAGGAACTGCCAGTAATGCGTGAGAAATGAGATTTTATTAACTACATGATATTCCACCACCTCAAGTCTAAGCTTTAACCTGCCTTATTTCCACCTCCTAAAAAGTTAAGGGATGTTGTTGTTTATTTATCCAGTTGAGCTGTTGTCCTCAACATACCTAGCATTCTACGAAACTAAAAATGAAAATTGGCCCAAACTGTGACATTCAGAAAATTTTGTCAACAAACTGAGGAAATGCTAGGAAGCATCCTAGTGCTTGGAGAATGGAAAAAGAAGGGATTCTTTTGGCTATGATAAATGTATCGTTGTGAAGTATTTGTTTTTCTATACCAAGTCTTATGCCCTATTTTCCTTATGGATATGTATGGGGTAACTGACTTGTATTTTTCCTTTTTTTTGGCATGATGCATAGCTTGTTTTCTTTGTTTCTATTTTTTTTTTGAAGTATATGTTGGAGATATTTTCCTTATCCTCCACCAGTAGCCTGCTGTCCCCACACTATGGGGATGAATTTTGAGAGCTCTGGCCTTGATTTTGATTTTTATTCATTTAGTAGTTGGATTATTTGCTTTTTCTTGATAGCCTTACCTGTTTGAAAACTGACATTTTGTTATTTACTATTCCTCTAAAGAATTTAACTAAGCAAATATTTTCCCCAGTTTGCACTAGATCATGAAAGCGCCCATGGCACATTGTCAAACTTTTAAGGAGACTCATCAACCCAAAAGCTTTGGGGACACATAGCTTCTTCTGTTAGAAAAGAATAGCTGAATGGTGTTTTTTTGCCTGGCAGTCACATACATAATTTCATTTGCTGAAAATTGTATTACATGGACTGCTGGAAAAAATGGAATTCAATTGACAAGGAAATTTTACGAAAGAACCTGTAATCTGTATTCCTCTTCTGTTTTATTCTTCTAAAATCTGTCTAATTTTAGATATGATAATAGATAAACAGATTTAAGTTAGAAAGGAAAAATAACCCATATCTGAGCAGGATAGTGCTTCATGTAACACAATTAAGCAAAAAGTGACCACCAGACTATAATATTTTTATTTGATGGTATCCCCTAACTGTGTGTTTTATGCATTTTTGACTAAGCCACAAGTATGATACTGTTAAAATATAAAGTATTTAAAGTATTTCTCCAGTTACTTTTAGTTTAGTCTGTTTCTATCATATTATCTTTCAACTTAAAAGGCTTTCATTATCCAGTGTCATGTCCTTGGATTTGCTTATTTGGACTATGATTTGCGGTAAAGTTAAACATCTTTCAAAACCGTCCACAATGAACCTCACATTAGATTAGAGAATGGTTTTGCCACATCTATGTAACTAGTCTTTTTAGGCAAGTAGAAGGAAAGGTCAGCCAATATTGACAAGAACTTGAGTACTGTCTGTGTGGCATCCAATAACATTCATTTGTTGACAAAATGGCAAACAGACAGAATTCTAGCTTTACCCAGCACTATTAAATCTGCCTCGGGAGAGTATTATGTCTTTCAAAACAATTTGAGAAGTGCACCGGTATATATGGATGGGAATGGATGCAGTCAGCAGAAATTTGTTATATAATTTTATATATTGCCCACTTTTACTAATTAAATCAAAATAAGATACTGTGTGAGGACAAGAACAATATTAAGCACTTAGCAAAATCATCATACCTCAGGTAGGTTTACCACAAAAATGTATTTTATTTATTTATTTTATTTATCAAATTTATTGGCTGCCTATCTTACCAAAGGGTAACTTTGGACCAAGAAACAATAGAAGACCTATGGTTATTTTTACCGACAGGGTTTTCCACAATAATAAGTGAGGAGGACCCAACTGAAGCATAAGAACTTGGAACACCTACCTGAAAGTACATGAACTTCATGAGTTTTGTCACTTCTGGCTCTAAGACTTCCACTGTCTTCTCATAAATCTCTACTCGGTTTGGCTGCTCATTACACTTTACCTGAAAGTTAAGGTAACAATTTGCTATTAGTAGTCCTCATGGACATGATGAACAAGATCCATGGGACCATTTCAAAAGGATAGTTTTCAAAGTCGGATGTAGCAAAAACAAAAAATCTCGGAGTGCTTTTCAGATAAAACCAATTTAGAATGGGATGAACTCTCACAAATCATAATCAGTTGCCAGATAAAAGGCTTCTAAATGAGACTAATGCAAAAAAAAAATGTCAGAAAGTAATTAGTACTAGGAATGATACTCCATCATTTACATTATCACGTTTTTATACAATTTGTTCTCTAAATCAGAATGAACCAATGTTGCTGATGCTTACTTCATTTATTATGCTAATTTATACATTTTTCTTGCCAAATAATAGCATTCACAAGCTTTTTCAGAAGCCAAATATTGTTATGTCTTTTACATTTAGCTTCCTAAAAACTCATTTCTACTTCCAGCCTCCTTGATATGAATGTTCTGGGGAAAGCATAATAATGCATTTTACTTACTATTATTGAATTTGTTGATTTTATTACATATTTTATTAGCTATGCATACTATTCTAGATACATCTAACATTATAACACAACATAAAATAGATTATTATGGTTGGTTGCGCAGTCAGCCAGATGTTTAGACTGAATTTGGCATTTTGGTCCACCTATCAAGTGTCAAGTCACTTAACTGCAGTATGAAATCTTAATTGAAGATTATGGAGTGTAATCTACCCAATGAAATGGTCCAATGTAAGTTTGTAGTATTTTTTTTGTTCCAATTTCCCAGTCTAGGGTTGATTGACCCAAATTCACCCAACCAGAATCTGTGCTTAGTAGTAGACTAGAACCTGTGTCTTTACACTCTAATCCAGTACTACACTGGCTGTCCATAGTAGGTTAAATGAGAAATAAAATAATCTGAATGAATGTTCATTTATTAGAGATTTGTTCCTTTGGAAATACTGGTAGTAAAAAGCTGGTCGCAGGGGGTCATTATTCTTTGGGTCCTATAAGTTATTAGAGTGTCTTCTGAGAAAAAGAAAAGCTTATAACATTCTTAGTGTATCTTTCAGTTTCTTCTTGACAGAAACTTGAAGTGGATTACAATTTAACTTGACACCTTACCTGGGGAATAGCTCTGGAGCAGCTCCTCCAAGTATAAAGCATTACCGCATATTCATGCCCTTCCTCCAACATCTCATTCTGAAACACATTGGGACAACATAATAGCACTAGTTGGCACATAACAATCTATTCTGCCTCACCTCAGTCAGCTCTGGATCACCTGATACCTACCATGCTAGAATGCACTGTTGCTTGCTCAATGTATCTAGCAATGCCAGTTACAAAAGCATTTCTGTCTTCAAAATTTGTATCAAAGTTGGCCTGAAAGCAGAAAAAGGAATAGTTAGATATTCTTTTTATTTAGATTTTCATTTGTTTTCAGAGATTTTCCACTGTCCTATTGTAGGAGTTACCTTAGCAATGTGCAACCAGTTAAAATGTAAAATATAAAACTTTATAGAAATAATGCATAAAAAAAATTAAGCAGCTACAAAACAGTTATCAGGTAACAGAATGTGGTTACCTATCTATTTCAATATTAAAAAAAAACCTGTTAGTCAGCAGTACTAATAAGTACCAATAAGATAAAATGAGAATAAGAGAATAAGACCAAGAAAAAATGGAAATAAATATTGTGATTAGTGATTTAGCTACTTGGGTAAAATCAAGTGTATATTGCATTATATAATGATAACTGCACATATTTACCTTATTAAAAATTATTTTTTTTGCATTCATTGAATGAAATTGATACTAGATCCCCCCAACCGTTTGATGGGATCCCAAGATCACACTTTAAGAAGCACTGCTATGGATTATATGAATTTACAGATTTGCTGAACTTGAAGCAGCAGCAATAGAACTGTTCCATAATAAATGATCGTTTGTGTTTATCATAACAGCAAAAACATATTTTGATAATAGGAGCATAACAGTTAGCCAAGCTATGTAACAATTACTTTTAAATGATTTGTCAAAAGAAGCCAGTTCATATAATTTCCACTAATCTTTCTCCACCAGATCCAAAAGAAGCAACTTCGTAATGAATTAAAATAAAAGAAGAACCAAAAATATCCAAACTCCTAAAGGAGGGAAAATATGAGCACAGAGAACGTTAACTTGTTTCCAAGCCACTAAATGAGAATACAGCTTTACAGCCAAACTATCCAATGGTTAATGTTCTTATCCTGCTTCTTTAAGTCTTTTTTTGCTTGTCCTCTTCCACATTATTCTATCTGCCTCTTGGAGCTCTCCAATATTTTCCCCATTGACAAGCTTTCTTTTTCTCTTTAAAGCATGATTGATGAGCTCCTTCAAGCTATGATTCTACGGACATATTGGTTACCTGGTACATAATGGATGATGGAGGTGGCTCAATGCATGGCTGCTGATCTGGTAATGGCAGCTCCTCCAGGAGGTCCACATTGGACAGAGCATCTTCAAGGGTTACGTGAGTTGTCATGGTTCCCAGCTTTTAGACTCACCACTAAAATAACAATAATAAGTCCTTGTGTTATACAACTGAAATAGAAATACACAACTATAGAAGGAAATCAGGCAACAGCAAAACATGACTGTTTCTGATGAGTTCTAGTGCCACCTTAGGCAAAATGGCAGCTGGGTGAAGCTTAGGACAACAAAAGCCTTCAGTGTGAAAGTGTCTATGGAGATTCTCTGTCATCCAGGTCATGGTTGTCCCAAAGGTGCTCTTTCAAGAGCTAACTGGCCTTTTTGGTTTTTCTTTGAAGGCAGTAGAAGACATCAAAGTTTACAGTAAACCCACACATAATTCAATATTTGGATTTTGATTCTCACCACCCACTGGAGCACAAAATGGGAGTCATTAGAACCCTACACCACCGAGCTGATGGTCTGCCTACCAGCAAAGATGGGAAAGAAAAAGAACTAAAACACATCAAGGAAGCCCTCAGAACATGTGACTATCCCAAGTGGGCCTTCATCAAATCTCAAAAAAAGATCTTACAGGAGCTCCACCATAACAGACAACAAAGAGAACAATAAATGAAGCAATGTTGTCATTCTATACATTTCAGGAATATCGGAAAAGCTCAGGAGGATCTTTAGCCAACACAATATATGTGCACACTTAAAAACCAAGAATACACAAAAGCAGAAGCTTGCCCACCCCAAGGATAAAACACCCAGACACAAACTGAGCAACATGGTATATGTAGTACAATGCAGTGAGCCATGTGCAGATCTGTACATGAGGGAAACAAAACAACCACTTCATAAACGCATGGCACAACATAGGAGAACAAATCCATCAGGACAAGACTCAGCAGTCCATCTGCATTTAAAAGGACTGCTGGTTGGAAAGAGGGGTCAAAGAGGCTATCTATGTCAAAATTGAACAACCCTCTCTCAACAGAAGGGGAGGGATACAACCTCATCTATCTTCAGTCTACAACACAGTCCTTTCAACAGTTCCAAGAAACCTCCACACTCATTTGCACTACTCAGGTTATCCTGATGACGCAGATGCAAATGACTAGCTGTCTGCAAGGAGTACAAATTGTTCCATTCTCCAACATCCAGTCACACCTGAGGAAACTTCTTAAATGAGAAGTGAAACATCTTCAAAGAAAAACCAGAATGTCCAGTTGCCTCTTGAAAAAGCACCTTTGGGACTTCGGTGTGAAACTGATTAAAAGCTGGCCAGTTTCAAAAAGCAGAGAAAGGGGGCCCAGTGTTATAAACAACTAATTAAGGTCATATAGCTGATATTATTAACTTGCACTTTAGGGAAATGCTGTGCTGCAGAGAAAAGCAGTTCCGGAAGAGATGGCTTGTTTAAACAATTTTTCCACCTTGCAACAGGGGCAAAAAGGCGGGGGGAAATGCCCAGGACACTGTAAGAGAGAACTTTATCTGCATAAGAAGGCAACAACTATTGATCTTCTCCGCTCTCTCAGTCATGTATTCACT